ATATTTTTATTAGTACATCTTTACAGTTCATGCAGTTTACAATCATTAGGGAGTGGTTATACGTATACACCACAGCTTGTTTTTCTTATTTATTTATTTTGCAGAACTGGGGTTTGAACTCAGGCCCTTGTGCTTGCCAGGGAAGCGCTTAATCCACTGAGCCATCTCCCCGGCCCCTGTATTATCTTTTTATTATTAGTTTTGCATGTTTTTTTATTTTAGCAGTTTTCATATAAAAAAGGTTAAGTATATATTACATCCAACACCCTAGTGTTTTACTTACTGTCTCTCTACAACATGGACCACCCCCACTAGAATGTATCACAAGGGTAAGAACTCTTGTCTGATTTGTTTGCTATTGTGTCCCTCATCCTGGAATATTTGGCATATAATAGATGAACTATAAAATTTTATTTATGACATAAAAAAAAGGATATACAACTGGAAAAAAAAAGGTTAAGTATATACAAAATACAGAAAACTGTTACAACTTAAGAAACAAAGAGACGAAGGACAAAGAATATACATTAGCATTAGACAAAGATGAGCAAACCCAGTGTGTAGCAACTACAATGAAAAAGTACTTATATTCATTGATGACTAAGGAAATTTGAATTAATAAAGTATCACTTTATATTTGTGATCTCTACCATAAAGCATGTGAGAAAATGAAGTACAGAGTGCTATAGCCTTTACAAAAAAAAAGAAAAAAAAAATCCAAAAACATTGAAGTGAAGGATAAAGGCTAATTAATGAGGGAGCTTAATGAAGTAGAGTTCTTGTCTAGCATGTATGAAGCCCCATGTTCATGTCAGCACCCTCAAATGTAAATATTTTTGAACCAGTTAATACCACTGCTGGAAATTCACTAAATAGAAATAAAATCATAAATACTTAAAGATACCAGTTCAAAATTATTTTAGGATGGTCTATAGTTGGGAAAAGAGTCTTTAGCTTTAGGAATGGAGTAGTGAATTATTTTATTTCTATAACCTAGAAATAGTATAATTAACATTTAATGATTTACCACCTTTGTATGTGATTCTGTATTAAACTTTTTTTCTTAAACCTTGCTTTTAAGAATGCCTTGTGGGGCTGGCCAGATAGCTCCATACTAAAGCTCGTGCTTAGATGGAGCGCAGCAGCTGGGGTTCCATTCCCTATGTGCCGGAACCCTGTCCCCAGGGTGCGCTGAGATGGGCGACTAAGACTGGGCGTGGTGGTGTGCGCCTGCCTGTCATCCTAGCACTTGGGAGGCTGAAAACAGGAGAATCACTACGAGTCCGATCTACATAGTGAGACCTTGTAGACCCTGTACTAAATACATTTTTTAAAAAAAGAATGCCAATGTGTCAGTAATATAACAGCAAATAAAGGAGATGTTCTTTTATTAGATCATGGAATAAATTTTTTTAAATTTTATTTTTTATTCCTTTTAATGGAAAAAAATAGCAATGAAAGTTTCAAAACAGGTTAGTAAGACAGTTACAATAATTAATACATTGCATATTATTGTCTTCGTAATAACTATTCAGAGGACAAGATGCAGACATATCTTGTCTAAATATTAGTACAAATCTTCCTTCTCATTGAACAAAGAAAAAGTAGCTGTATATCTATCTTAACTATTATATATATATAATTATTATTTTTTTTTTCCCTACAGAACTGTCCTCTATTTATATCCCCCTTTTTTGTTTTGTTTTGTCAGAGGTGGCTGTATATGGTTCCAGGGTAAATCTTGAGGGGATTTGACTGACCTTACCATATAGCAAAAGTTACATTTTTAGTTCTATAGGTCTTGCTTTAACTTGATCTTAACCACCCAGCAGAAAAATGTAACCATGAGGTATAAAAAGTAAAACCATATTAATATGCTGCGCTGTAAAAGGCGCAAGGCAACAATTTCAGACGATTGCCAGTTGTGCTGATAACTCACTACTATTATGGACTATTGGACTATATTAGGTTATTTTGTGGAATCCAAGCACCTACATACAGTATTTGGACTGGCATCAAGTATGAAAAGATCCTATAAAGATTTCTCCAAATACAGCTTCTCTAAAAGTAATGAAACACCCATCATGGAATAAATTTTTAATCAGATTTTATCTGATACTGAAAAATTTATGAAAGCAAGCTTAGCTCTCAGTATTTGCTATATTTAAGTAGTTCTTTAAAGAGTCACTGAGTCCCCCTATAATTTTAAGAGAAATGAAATCATTTATGTCATGAAGTTAAAAAAAAACTTGCCTTTTTGTGAAGTATTTTTTGATAAATTTTTAAAAATTTTTGTTGATATTCGGTGTGTATTTTTGAAAAATGATTGTAATTCTTTATATCAGATACATGATCAGTCAGTCTGTCCTCCAGGGAAATAAGGATCTGTAGGTAGATCAGAAGTTGCTTTTGGTATTTACCAGGCTGCATTGTTTCTCCTTTTTATAAGTGTTGGCACTGATAAATACAGGTCGCTGGTTTTAGTATTTTTGTAAAAAAAGATGTGTGTGGAATCACTTAGTCCTTTTGTTTCTCAGCCTTCAGTGTCTTAAGCCCCTATGCATTTTCATATGCTAAGTAAAGGAGATACTGTTAGCTTACTGTGTCCATGGGTTCCATATCTGTGAATTTAACCATGAATTGAAACTGTAAAAAAATGTTTTGTGTTAGACTTATACAGACTATTTCTTATTAATCCCTGGATAATACAGTATGACTATTTACACTGTATAAGATACTGTAAGTAGAGCTGAATTAAAGTACATGGGAGGATGTGCTTAGAATATATGCAAATACTATGTATCATTTTATATAAGAGACTAAAGCCTCTGCTGGTCTGAGGATCAGTAGGGGTCCTGGAACTCCTGTGGATACCAAGGAACTACTATATTTCTGTCATTCAGCTGGTATCAGGAAAAGGAAATTTGGAAGTAAAAAATTCTAAGTGATTTCAAAGTTGTTATTAATTTTAATAGGTGAAAGTTGGTTTTCCTTTGAATTTACTCTTATTGGTGAAGTTCAGTTTATTAAACATTTGCCTTAAAGATAATTATGCTGGGTGCTGGGTGTTTGAACATTGGTAAGCCGAGGCTCCTTTCTGCCACTCTAGGCTTAGGAAATTCTCTGGGGATGGCCGATCAAAATGCGAGGTTAGTGTATTGTTTGAAGTTTAAGTTACTTGTTTGACTCAGTAAGTAGAACACTTAACAGTTATATTGTTTTGCCTGTTTTAAACTCTTGTGGAAAATGCAGCTAAAATATATTATTTTTACTTTCCTAAGCAGACTATAATTTATTTGGCACACTGCTTCAAGTTTATAATTAACTCTAAGCATTGATACTTAGTGTACTGGAGATACAGAAATTATAAAAGATTGAGCTAAATATATTGCCTTCAGTTATTGCCCCGGGAATATCACTTTTGGACTTATTTTAATGGAAAATATTACCTGTACTCAAAATATTTTGTAGCAGAAAAATTCCGGATTAACTGAAGGTGTTACAAACATAAAGTATTCATATACTAAAGCTTATTCAAGATACCGTGTAGCTGTGTGTATATAAACGTTTAAATATGTATGTAGTGTGTCCTGAGCATTAGTTAGCTCAATTCTAGTTATAACTCCAGTACATCATATTCTAATATTTCAATCTAGAATTGTTGGGAGAGTTTACTCCACTTGTTGAGAGGCTCGGATTTGATGAAAATTTTGTGGATCTAACAGAAATGGTTGAGAAGCGACTCCAGCAGCTGCAAAGCGATGAACTGGCTGCTGTGACCGTGTCAGGCCATGTATATAGCAATAAGTGTGAGTGAGTTTTTATTCATTCTGCTTAGTGTCTCAGTGTGTGCTCCTCTGATACCCCTACTTCAAGGCTGGGTACATGTTTCTTAATGTTCAGAGAGTTTACTCTGTCATTCTGAAAGACTTAGAACTTTTTTTTAAGAAACAGCCACTTTAGTCAGTAGTCTGTCTCAGATAACTAAAGTTAGGCCTTACTGTTCTACACTAGATGAAAAAAAAGAAATATTTTAATGGCATGAAGCTCAGAACTCTGCAGTTTTCATCTCTCTGACCCTGTGGCTGTGCCAGTTGTGAAAACGGTGCCCTCCTTAGGTCATTGCCTCATGTTGTTCTCTGATTTTCTGAGTAACTGCTGTACCACTAAGCCCTACCCTCAGCCTCTTATTCACTGACTCTCTAAGTTAACAGCTGTGGACTCTTGTCCAGGCCATGGAATCATGTCTGCCATATGCTGGTATATCCTCCAAGCTCTTAATCTACTCAGATGATCATTATTACCAGCAAGAAAGCAGCATGTTTCACCTTCATTCCATTGTTAAGGTAGGAATGACTGATAATATTTCCAGGGATGTTTGCACTGAAAAGAAGCGCCAGTGAAAATCTTTTTTTTTTTTTTTTTTTCTTGGTGGAACCAGGGATTGAACTCAGGCCCTTGAGCTTGCCAGGGAAATGTTTATTCCACTGAGCCATTTTCCTGGCCCGCCAGTGAAAATCTTAACTGGACTTACAGACATGTTGTGATTGCTGATGACTCCATGTCATACCACGTGGAAGACAGGCTGCTCTGCTTTTGCATAAGAGTTGCCTGACCTTTTGGTCCTAGGTCTCAGCATATGCTCCTCTGATACCCCTACTTCAAGGCTGGTCATCAGTCTCCAGTACAGAAGAAAAGTGATAGAGCTCCAGTTTTTAGGAGATACAAAGCTTTTCATGTATCATTTATGTCTGTGCCCTTTTGTTAAGGCACTAGTTGCAAGAAGACTCAAAACATTTATTTGTATGTAATTTTTAAAGCAAGCTCAGATTTTGATTGGAATATACCACTCTATAGAGCTAGATTTCATACCCCAAATGTCTGATTATTTATTGATCGTTAACTCAAGATTTAAAAGTTCCATTTCAAACCTATAGAAAAGTTGATAGAAGCATACAATGAATACCCATTATGTCTTTTCTTGTAGGTATACCAAATGATATTTATCCCTGTTGAACTTGTCCTCTCTATGGAAAAATTTGTTGGTTAATGAGCCAATTACAATGCATTGCAGAAATTTTGACACTTCTCCCTGAATCCTACTAGCGTGAGTGCTGAGGCTAAGGATATATCACTCTCAATATTTCATACCTAAGAAAATAGTTATTTATAGGTCAGAAATTTTTAACAGCATATAAAGCTAGTATGTAAAGTTTAGATATTAATGCCAGTAGGAGTTTTTTTTTTTTTTTTTTTTAACAGATCCAGATTTCATAATCTGTTTAACCATTATTAGTATATGTTTATTATCATAGGACAGTGGAATTCTCATGTTTGTTTACAGTATTCCTGTGAAAAACTCAAGAAATTAAATCAAATGGTAGGGTAGTGGTAGTGGGGGTAGGAGGATTTGGGTATAAACCAAGCCTTGTACCTTTTAAACATTCTCTTAAAAAAGAAACTACAATAATTTTGTGTGACTTTTGACATCACTTTTTATAGCTGTAAACCTGAATGATACCTCACACGTCAGACTACTTATTGGATCCCAGATTGCGGCAGAGATGCGGGAAGCCATGTATAATCAGTTGGGACTCACTGGCTGTGCTGGGATCGCTCCTAATAAGCTATTGGCGAAATTAGTTTCTGGTGTCTTTAAACCAAATCAGCAAACAGTCTTACTACCTGAAAGTTGTCAAGATCTCATTCTTGGTTTGAACCACATAAAGGAAATACCTGGTAAGACAAATAGATTTTAAATACTTATATTCACTGTATAGTATTTCTTTATAATTTTAAAATTTATAGATAGAACATCATTCCTAGATGCTTGTACTTGGCCCTTACAGAAAACATAAAACACAAATGACAGCAGAAACAAATCAAACCCAAAGTGCTTCCTGGAGCAAATCTGTATAAGGAACTCTAATATAAAGTACTTTTCTATTTCAGATCATAAAAGTTGTAACTGGAAGTGTATGTTTTTTTATTGCCAGTCTTGTGTTCCTGCTCTATTCTGTGCCCTACATCTGTAGAGGAAAGTTCATGTTTTTCTAATGCTCTTTGAGGGATTTTATATAAAATATTTGGGCTACAATGGACCTTCCAGAATTTCTAGGCCAAGTTAAATCATTTTAAAGATGAGGGAACAGATTTCCTTGAGGGGTTCACTAGCCTGTTGAGGTCACAAGGCAGACTTGGATCTTTCGAGATCAGATACTTACATTTTTATAAATCATCCACCATGAACACGGTAAATTTCATGAGGTAGCATTCCTGGAGAGTGATGTTAGTAAATCTGTAAGACAATTGAAGTGTAATCTTTAGCTCTCATACTTCTCATTTTAACATGTTTATGTCATTTTAAAATGCAGCATATGCTGTCTTGCCTTTCTCAATATAGTACAATGGTACCTCGTTTTATGAACTGAATTTGTTTTATGATTTTGGAAAAAATGGCTGCATTTGTGTTTGTGTGGGGAAGATGGCTGTGTTTGTGTTCATCACCTGATGCAGAGTTTGCAAGTGCAACAAAATTTAGCTGAATGGTTTTATGAACTGAATTGTTGTCAAACAGAAGTGTTTGTGAATCAAGGTGTTACTGTGTAATTATAATTTGAAATTTTGGGTCTGCATTCTGAAGAAGAATGTCATACTAGTAAATTGAGGACTGTATATTGGCAAAAAACATTCTTTATATTTTCAGTGACTGCATCTTTTTTATAGACTTTGATTTTTTTGCTAATTGCTATTGCTACTCTTCCTGTATTTCTACTATAAAACATCCATCAGTCCACTTTTAATAATTACTTCACCCCTTACCTGTCTTCTTGGTTTACTGCATTGACTGTGCAAGAACACCCTACAGTTACAGAATTACTTTTTTTTAAAATGAATGAAATACGAAGTCATTATGTGGTTTCTCCTGTGAACAAAATGACTTACAGTGTAAGAACTTCATAGTACAAGTTTTGTAAGATTTTTTTTTTTTGCTCTTAGTTGTAATCTGATAGTAAATATTGCAAGCTATGATTTATGTGGTAGTGTATATAGAAAACTACTTGGCTAATAAATACACGTGAATTAAAATTAAAATTCCTATAGTGACAGTCTTTTTTATGTTAATAATCATGATTCCTGAGTTCTTCCACAGTAGTGTATAACAGGTGATAAAAATTTCATTTTATCATGACAGTTTATTAGCTGTCTGTAAATTTATTTCATTGTACTATGTGCAAAGGCTTCAACTGTAAGTTGGGGCATGTGTAGAGAAAGAATAACCTAATTTGCAGTTGCGTTGGACTGAGCCAAAAAGGTTTATTTGTTGTTGAGACATAGTCTTGCTCTAGTCAGGCAGGTCTTGAGCTCACTATGTAGGGGTTGGTCTTAACTTGGAACAGTCCTTCTGCTTCAGCTTTTCAAGTGCTTGGGACTGTAGGCATGTGCCACGAGGCCCAGATGATTTTAACAAAATATTGCAGTACTTAAGGAATTTAAGATATGGTTCAACTGTGGAAATCAGTGTGGAGATTCCTTAAAAACCAGGATTAGAGGTCCAGTTCTACCTAGCTCTTCCCCTTCTGGGTATCTTCCCAGAAGAATTAAAAAGTCATCCCACA